AAGAAAGGCAAATTAAAGACTACAGAATCATCAAAAGTAGACAGTTCATGGATCTGGACACTTAATATTCTTAGACATCTATACTCCTGAGCTGATATACAGATTTTGTGTAAAATCCCAGGAGGCTTATTAGTAATTAAAAGAGATGATCCTAAAATCCTTATGATAATGCAAGGGATCCTAAATAGCTAAATGAAAGTTTAAAAAGGAGAAATCTAGACGATCTCACATGTCATGATTTTAAAACTTAATTCCACAGTGATCAAGACAACGTAATACAACGTAAGTACAGAAATGTAGATGAAAATGTAGATTAATGGGACAAAACTTAAGAGTCCAGAAATAAACCCTTACATTGATGGCTGATTTTCAATAAGGATGCCAAAATAATTCAACAGACAAAAATAGTCTTTCTATTCTTTCCTGGGATGATTGTATATCTATTCCTGGAATAATTGTATATCCACAACTAAAACAGACAATAAAGTTGGACCAGACCTTACACAGTACACACAATATTTAACTAAAATGAATCAAGACCTAAATGTAAAATCTAAAACTACAAAACTCTTGGAAAAAAAACGTAAAACTAAATCTTCATAATCTTGCATTTGACAAAACCTTTTTTAGAATAGTAGACCAAAAGTGAAAGCAACAAAAGGAAAAAGTGATATTCAAAGTTAAAGCCTTTTGCATTTCAAAAGATCCCATCAAGAAAATGAAAAGGTAATCCAAAGAACAGGATAAATTGTTTTCAAATCATGTATCTGGGATTTGTGCACAGACCGAAAAGCCAAACAACCCAATTGAAAAATAAAAATATAGACGAAGAAACAGAACAGACAGTACTATATAAGCAGTATACAAACAGCCAATAAGGACAAGAAAAGGTTCACAACATCAACAGCTATCAAAGAAATGCAAATCAAAACCACAATGAGATACTACTTTACATACATTAAAATGGCTATAATAGAAAAATACAGACAATAACAAGCACTGGCAAAGATGTGGATAAGTGAAACACTCAAAAAATGCTGCTGATGGGAATGTAAAATTGTGTAACCACTTTGGAAAATGTGTGGCAGCTCCTCAAAAAGTTAAATATAGTTATTATAAGCCAGACATGGTGGCAAACGCCTGTAATCCCAGCACTAAGAAGGCTGAGGATGGAGGATCCTTGCGAGTTCAAGACCAGCCTGGACTATAAAGTGAGCTTAAGGCCAGCCTGAACTGCACAGTAAGACCCTGTCTCCAAAAAAAAGACAAGAAAATAAATACAGTTATTATATGACACTGCAATTTGATTCCCAGGCATTTACTACACAAGAGAAATGAAAATTTATGTCCAAACACTGTACAGCATTATCCAAAATAGCCCAAAATGATACCACCACAAATGTGCATTAAGGGATGAATGAATAAACAAAATGTGCTATATCCACAGTATAGTAGTTTGACCAAGGGGAATTAAGTGATTATACATGCCACAACATGAATGAACCTTGACAGTATTATGTGAAATCAAAAGAAACCACTCAAAAAGGATCTATGACCCAAGTATATGAAATATCCAGAATAGGTAAACATATAGAAAAGTAGGTAAGTGATGGCTTAGACCTGGGGAGGGGAAGTGACTGCTAATGGACATGAGGTTTCTTTCTGGGACAATTAAAATTTCTAAAATTAGATGGTGATAGCAACTGCACAATTTCATAAATATACTAAAAAACACTGAATTCACTCTTTAAAAACTACTGGTGCTATAGTTTAGACCTGGAATGTTGCCCCCAAAGGCCCATGTACTGAAGACTTAACCCTCAACCTGATGCTAAAGGCGGTGTAAACTTTAAGAGGTGGGGCCTACTGGGAGGTTTTAGATTGTTAGGGACAACCCCTCAAAGGGGATAGTGCACCACGAGTCTCTATCTCTGCCAAGTGCCATGAGGTAAGCAGCCTATTCCACCACACATTCCCCTCCATGACATGCTATATGACCATAGGCCCGAAGGCAACAGGGAAAAATGAGTACTGTATAGACTGATCGCTCTAACCTCTGAAGCTCTAACCCATAAAAATAAACCTTTCCAAACTATACACTGATTATATCAGATGTTTATTACAGTGTTGTAGTCAGAGTTCTCAAGGATAACAATACAATACAGGACATAGAATCTGTAAGATTATAATAGTCACCCAAAGAGTCACATACAAGAGAGTGCAGGAAATCTGTCCACACACTAAGACCAAAATAATTCAGCTGAGGACCTGGATCCCATGGCCATGTCCCACATGAGTCCAACTCAAGACCTAGAGCCGTAACAATGCCCCCAACGAGTCCAACTGGAGGCCTACAGCCCACAACAATAACTCATGCAGGCCTGTTTCACAGTTCTGTGCTGGGAAGGCCCAAAGGTCAGTGGTAGAAGCTAAAAAGCCAGTGCCAGCAGGATGAAGGATCTGTGCCAGCAGGCTGAGGGATCTGCACTAGAGCCAGGAAGCAATGCTCAAAGAACCAGAGCTCCCCTGAAAGGTACCACAGCCATCCTCAGCAACAGTGAGGTCCCGAGCTCATCCAATGATGAGAACAGCTGAGTTCCAAACAGAAAAGCCAGCGCAATAAGCTTCTCCAGGAGACTGAGCAGTGCACCATCTTCCCCTCTGGAGCCAGGAAGCAATGCTCAAAGTGAGGACCAGAGCTCCCCCAAAGTGAACCGTACCCATTCTCAGCAGCAACAAGCTCCCAAGCTCCCAAGCTCCTTCTACATGAGAGCAGCCAATTTCATCAGGAAAACCAACCGCTCCTACAGCTTTCCAACAGCTTCCAACAGTTTCTAAACTTCTTCCTCTCCAGTTCTACCTTTTACGCCACCAGCAACAATCCTCAGGTGGGCCTCCTACACCCAGCACCACACTGCTTCAGTTCAGCTGCGTTTTACAAGTTGACCACCTGTTGTGAATCCACCACATACAGTACGGAAAACCTGACTATCTCAGGTGTTTGTTACAGCACAGGAAAGCTAACATAATTTCTACAATTGAATCCTTTTTTGTACTGTACAACGGTTAGTAAATGTTACAATTTACAAAAAAATGTGTTTCAAGTTTTTTCCCAGAGTGACACAGGCAAAAAAATAGCAGAAGAGTATACTGTGAGACTGTGATGGAGGCATCTGCATTATCTCTTAGAGCACTAGCAAACTGGACATTACCCCTCAATACAGTATCTCCAAACCTAGAAGCTATAATATTAAAAGCCTGGGGTCATGGAAAGGCCAATTGTAGATACTTCCAAGTAGTTCTGGCTGAACTCAATCTTTCAGTTATTATACACTATGTTCCAACCGTGAATGAAGAACTTTCAGGTAATTATGATCCCTAATAATGCTTACTTAAGAAGCAGTCTGTCTGTCCCAACTAAGGCCCAAGCCACAACAGACCAGAGACAATTTTCCTACTTAGTTCTGTCTGAATTTTAAACACAAGGAATCATTAAGCCAAATAAAAGGGTGATTGTTTCACATCGCTGAAGTTGACACAGTCTGTTTTATACTAATAAATAAGAGTAGGGGGACAGAGATATAGCTCAGTGGTAAAGCACCTGCCTGGCAAGCACAAGGTCCTGAGTTTGATTCCCAGGAACCAAAAAAGGGGCTGTTCTCATGAATAATGACACAAAAATATTTGCTGAAGCCTTACAGTGAGTTCATTCTATAACATTAAAAATTAATTCATGAAGATCAAGTAGAATTACATTAGGAACACAAGTCTACTATAATAAAAAAAATGTATGCTGCCACATTAAAATGGTTAAAATTTTAACATTTACACAGTATGCTAAATAAAATTCATCATGTATCTAATAAAATTAGGGGGTATACACATGGTCTCTAATATCTTAAAATGTAAGAACTATTTTTAGGCCAAAAGATGATATCTTAGTCATTCTCATTTATAATTACTAATAGGTATAATTACTAATAGGAAGCAAAAGAAAGAAAAACAGAAACAAAATCCCAAAACACACAACACAGCTCCTGATTAGGAATTAAGTAATTAATAATGTAGAAACTAAGTCAGACATATATATAGTCATGATACAGTTAGTATTCTAATAGAATAATATGGTATACAGCCTTTCAAAAAATTTTTAAAAAGACTTTCAGAAGGAACAGAATGCTTTTCAAAAAAGAATGACACCCAATTCAATTGGTCCTATCTGATAGGGGAAGGAGGCAAAAGAAACTATCCCTGGCATTTAGACAAACAAAAAGGACACCCTGAGGGCACTGCACGTACTGTGGCTGGAGAACTGAAACTGCCACAAGAAATTCTGGGCTAGAACTTTTAAGTAAGGAAAAACTCTGTTTCTAAACAGAGGACATCATAGGATTAAATCTGGTCTCACAAATGTAGTGGGAATATACATAAGGAACAGGAAGTGGAGAGAAAATTCAGGAAAGTAAATGGAGAAATACTATAGGCGTTCTTTTGTAAGGTACAAACAGATCTAGAAGCAGAAAAATGAATGGTAGGCATGCACAATCTTAATGTAGAACTAAAAGAAACACAAAAAATATGAAAATGTTCGTGCTTTAAACACTGAGATATAATTAAGAAATACAAAGCTAAATCTTCATTATATTAAAATTTTTCACGAGCCAGACAGTTCAACAAAACCTCTACAGACTAGACAAAAATACAATAGCCTAATAACTACACGTTGAAATTTTTGGTGGTTGTATCACTACCCCCAAGCTTAGTAAGTTAAACCCTAAACATCAATATGATAATATAAGAAGTGGACCTTTTGGAAGATGACCAGGTCATGATGGCAGAGCCCTCATGAATGGGATTAATGCTCAAAAAGACCCCAGACCTTGTACCTTCCATGATGAAGACACAATGAAAAGAGGCCACCTCTGAACTAGAAAGCAGATTCTCACCAGACCCTGAAACCTGCCAGCATCTTGAACCTGGACTTCCTAATCTGTAGAACTGTGAGAAATGAATTTCTGTTATGTATATGTCACCACCTAGTTTATGTTATGAAGTTGATGTTAACAAAAAAAGATACCACAGAAAAGATTAATGTATTTTAATACTTAAAAAATATTACAGGGAAAAGTAAAAATAAAAATATAAGTAATTAAATAGAACAGAAGTTAACTGAGAGAATATATTCCTTTGATAAAATTAATCCAAAAGGGAAACTGGAGAGAGGAAGTTAATATTTAAGTCAGGGAATGACTACATCAACCAGAGCACAGAAACATAACATCATTATTTAAAAAGCCAAACATGCATGCCCAAGGCCCTGGATTCCAAACAAAACACAGCCAAATAAAACAAAAGAAAGCCAAATGTGTATTCAAACTGATCATTCAAAAAAGTTAAAGTCAACATTAATCACAACTGTAGAGAAGCAAACTTTAGTGGATGGTTAAATGAAGGTAAATTAGAAAGCTATGAATTTGCTGTCTATTAAATGCCTTGCTCTTGGGGTGCGGTAGCAAAAGTCTGAGGCTGAGGCACGAGGACTGCTGTGAGTTTGAGACCAGCCTGGGCTGGTCTGAGTTCAAGTGTACCCTGAACTGTATAACAAAATCCTGTCTCAAAAAAAAAAAATACACACACACACACACACACACACACACACACACACACACACACGTACATAAATACCCTGCTCTGTAAAACAGATACAAGCTCAGTTATTATTTTTATATTTTACATGGGAAACTGTTCACTAATAAGGCAAATTGATATTTTACAAAAGCACATAAGTTTATATTTACAAATTTTGCATTTCATTTACTAATAACAAAAAGCCTAGGTAACTAGTTGTCAGCAAACCATTCTTCAGCATCTATAGACTAAAGTTAATTCTATTAAGAAAAACTATTCTATGCATTTTTTACAGATTAAATAAAACTTTAAACCAGGCACAGTGGCACACAAGCATACTCCTAATGATTTGAGAGGCTGAAGCAAGAGGAATCACTTGAGCCCACAAATTCAAGACCAGTTTGGTAGCCAGGCGTGGTGACACACGCCTGTAATTCCAGCACTCAGGGAGGCTGAGGCAGGAGGATCACTGTGTGTTCGAGACCAACCTGGGCTACAAAGTGAGCTCAAGGCAGGCCTGAATGGCATAGTGACACCCTGTCTCAAAAAGACAAGACAAAAAAAAAAAAAAAAAGACCAGCTTGGGCAACATAGTAAGGCCTCATCTCCAAAAAATAACATGTTTCAAGTAGGGCACTGTGGTGCATGCCTATGACCCCACTAGAGACTGATGTGGGCAGATTGCTTGAGCACAGCAAAGCAAGCAAGCAAGCAAGCAAAAAAAAGTATGTTTATTCTTTGAGTATAGTAGTTAGTAAACTTTTTAAAACCTTATGGATTTGGCTAACTTTGCATAAAATAATGCAGAAGAAACATAATTAGGATAATTTGACATGGATATGCATCCAAAGTTTTACTTTTCTGCTACAAAACAAGTACAAGTATAAACATTTTAATAGACAACAGTGACTAAAAATAATTCAATCCACAAAAGTAAATAGCATTCCAAGAGTTCTACATGGTCAAAGGACTTCATATTTTAATAGCAGCTATATAAGTTCAGAGGAAGTTGAAAACTCATAGCCAGGGCTTATATTAACATGTGTTTCAAGCAAATAATTTTTGTCTTATACCATCAAGATAAAATAAAGCAGCAGAAAATGACAAGGCATAGCTTAAAGATCTTATATTCAGGGCAACCCACTTTCCAAGCCCCCTTCTGTTCCTCTCAGACAGAAGCTTTCTTTCGCTCAATAAATTCTTCCTACTCTTAACCTCCGTTGTTCCTAAAATCCATTCCTTGATTTTAGAGAACGTGAACTCGGCATTTCGGACATCTAGGAGGTTAGGAGTTTCAGTCCCTTGTATATGGAGGTTTTCCACTGAAACAACTGGACCGAGGTGAGTGTTTGCTTTTGTTTCATAGATCCTGGGTTGTGACTTGCTTGGGTAATCAAAATTTTTGTGATGTTATGTCTTTGCTCACTGCTTATAATTGGTCATGCTTTGTCTCTGAAATAATTTTATTAAAATGGTGACAAATTTAAGCTGAAAACATGGAAAGGTTATAAGGTTATGATGCTTCTTTAATGGGACATTTTATTCCTGTTTTGTCGCACCTCACACCCATCCTATGAGCTGCCATTGGATTGATATCACCTAAGTGACTATACCTGTACTCTTACTGATTGATTATAGTTCTGTCCCACCTTAAGCCCACCTCACCTCATGGATTTGCTCAATAAAACACCCTTGAGAAGCAGGGTTGGTGGGCAACTCCCTTTTTTGGCCCCCTTCTGTCCTCTCAGACAGAAGCTTTCTTTCTCTCAATAAATTCTTCCTACTCCTAAAAAAAAAATCTTATATTCAGATACTTTCCTAGTTTTGAGTAGTTTATAAGCAGTATATTTCGTAATAAGTAGCACGCTTTTTAAAACACAGTAAGAAATACCAGCACTATACCTATAGTTTAAAATACACAGATAAACTCGGACGAACTCCATAAATATTACCTGCATAGCACTCTTGCCCATTTTAACAACTTCAAACAACATCATGTTTTCCACTCCATTCTGTTGGTGATGACCATTCATTCGGTTTGGACCAGAAGGAGGTTTCCCTCCTCCATTTCCACCTTTGCTCTTTTCTCCTGGGCCCTTTTTGCCTTTTTTACAAGTCTGCATAAAAAATACAAATTGGTTAAATTATATCACTATCTTTGAGAGTTTAAAACAAAGCTACTGTGGAAGCAACTGACAGGGTAAGAATTGTAACATACATAAACCTGACCTATGAGACTGTCATACAACACAAGAAAATTATGATTGTGACAGCTTCTTTGTGACTTTTTTCATTTATACTACCATAAACTCCACATTACATTATAATTATTAGAAGTACAGCAGGAGACAGGCTGTGTAGGTCTAAATTTCTACTCCTATTAGCTGAGTGATCTTGGGTAAGTTATTTAACCATTGTACTTCAAAGATTTTGTTTTTGTAATTTTTATATTATAGAATAAAATTATACCTTCTTCAAAGTCTTGCTGTGATAATGAATGTGTAAAGTATTAGCAATATACATAGCACCTAATAATATCAGAAATTATTATTATCAATAAAAATGAGGAAATATACAGTAAACAGCTCAATAAATGTTACTTGAGTCTAAATCTGCTGGAAAGACTGACTGGATTTGAAACAATTTCCAGATAGAACCAATTTTGAAAATTATATGAAATCACAGCATTAAAAGCCCTTAAAGTATCAACAAGGTTTGAAAACCACTGCAAAGAAATCCCTAATGTATATAACTAGAGAAATTCTTAGAAAATAATATAACGAAGTGGCTATATCCAAGCTTTGTAATAGTCCCGTATGCTGTTCTGGGGTGCAGTGTGAAATGGGGAGCAAGAGTAACAAATGTCGTTATCAAGTAAGTAATTCACACTTAGTTCAACATTTTAACTTAATTTCTACTGTTAGCCTTATAAATCATTGCAGCGCTATAAAGGAGTTATTCTGAATACTCTAAATAGGCATATGAACCTCATTCTTGTCCTAGGTTTTCTCTCCAATACTTATGAAAATTCAGTTAATGAACACTGTGGATATGAAGCCCCATTATGAAAAAATTGTCAGTAATGGCAGTAGGAGCTTTACCAATCAACGAAAAGGTGACCTGTGTAACTCAGTTACAAAATACTCCCATAGCTTTTACAACAAGTAAAAGAAAAACAACAAAGCTGGAAATGTAGCTCAATGGCAGAGTGCTTGCCCAGCATGCATGAACTCTGGGTGGAACACACTATAATGACCTAGGATGGTATGGCAGAAGGATTACAAATTTAAGATCAGCCTGGACAACTTAGAAAATGTTGTCACAAAATTTAAAAAGGGCTAAGTGGGAATGTAATTCAGTGATAAGAGTGCTTACCTAGCATGAATGAGGTCACTGGGTCCAATCCCCAGCAGCATATATTTTTTTAAATGCCAGGGCTAGATTAAAATCTTTACAGAAAAAGGTCTCTGAACCCCTGGATTTGGGTATTTCAAATGTCTTCTAGATCTACACATTTTAATGCTCTATACAGCAAAGGTAACCAAACTCTCTGTAAATTATCAGATAATAAATGTTTCAGGTTTTGTGGGCCACAAACCATCTCTGTTACATATTGCTTATCTGTAAAACATTTTTAAAATGTAAAAACCATTCTTGGCTTGTGGACACTACAAAACCAACCATATTGTAAACCCCTGATCTAACAGCCACACCTACAAATTTCTTTCCACTGATAGCCTGTGTATCTGTACATTACCCCACAGATGGTCCTTCTTCTTTCATCAAGAGTCTCAACCACCCTATTCTTAACGGTTACTTCAAACTCCTTACTAATACCTCGAAGACATTACCTGTTAGTTTACTGTGTTAATGAGAGACTGTCTTTGTCAAACTAAGCCATTAATTATTAATTATAGAATGAAAGGCTTTTGTACTAAGTAAAAAGAATTTTGTAGGGAAGGTCAAAATACCTTTACAAAGAATACACTCAGAGTATAAAATCTTAATGTTAATTAACACGGTGCTATATATTTGCCATTTATCATAAGTCTCAATATTCTGTCAGTATGAAAAACTAATTAGTATAATTAAAATAGCTCAATGGATATGCTATGCCAGAGAAAATATATGTGCAAGGAGTGATAATACATGGGAAGCATAAGAAGTAAACGTTCTAACCTGGGTACAGTCTTACAGAAAAAAAAAAAAAGTCAACAAAAGATTAGTTTAGCAGGTGGCATAGTAGATTAAGAGCACTGACCTGGACTCAAACTATTCAGCTTTTCCTGACCTAAGTTTCCTATTTATAAAATAAGGAAGTTTTCTAAATCACAGAGTTGTTCAAATATTAAATCGGGTAACATAAATTAGTACAGTGTATAGAACATACATAGTATAGAACTAAAACACAGTTGTTGTTATAAATTCTTAATCTGAGCCCTAATATCTCACCCATAGCAGTGGCTATATAAAGTTAACGTGTATCACAAAAACTTCAGAGAGGTGAAGATGTAGCAACAGTGATAAGGAGCATGTTCACCATATGTGACAGTCCCTTGGTTCCATTCCCATTCACCACCAAGAAAATAAAAATCTTTAGAGACTCCTCTATTCAGATGCCATGATGGATCTTATCTCAACTTGCAAATTAAATCAAAGGCAGAAACAGATTTAAAAACACAATCTTCTAATTAACAACCATACATCATATCCTAGAATTATGGATATATTTGTTTTGGACAGTCATAAGTTAACACTCCCATTCACTTCTGTCTTTTTCTGTCTTTCTCACATCTACTTAAGGAATTAAGACAACATAAAATTTACAAACACGTTAAAAAAAAATTACAAACACGTGAATTATATGCACCCTAAGAAATATTCCATGGGCTAGTTAAATAAATTATGATCCACACATAAAATGCGATGCTGTGCCGCCATTAATAATTAGAGGTATATTCACTTATGGGAAACTTGCTGGTGATACACAACTGCATTTTAGAAGCATATTTTATACAGTTTGAATAGTATGATTACATTAAGTAAAACTCTGTATGCAGTTTTATACACAGATACATAAAAGTATGTTCATCAAAAATTACCTGAGCAATGTTATTAAAAAAGATCCTTTTATTTACTGTACTTTTTCATATGGTGTAGACTTTTTCAATATATGTCATGAAAACATATAAATCCAAAATTCATTTTGGGAAAAATGTTTAACAACAAAAACAAGTCATTCCCATTTAACCCAGCTATTCCCCTTCTAGGTATTTTCCGAGAAGAATTAAAGATATCATACCACAGCGATATATGTGCACCCATGTTTATAGCAGCACAATTTGTTATAGCTAAATCTTGGAAACAACCCAGATGCCATCCACTGGGGAATGGATAAAAAAGTCGTGGTATTTTTATACAATGGAGTATTACTCAGCTATTAAAAAAGATAAACTCGAGGTTTTTATAGGTAAATGGACGCACATAGAGACCATACTCATAAGTGAAATAAATCGGACCCACATGTGTAAACATCATACTGTCTCCTCAGTGCCAGGAACCTGAAACACTAAGTAAAACTCAAAACGTACAATAGATGACAGGAAAGGGAAAGAAACTGCTTAAAGGAAGAAATGACTGGGATGAAGGAAAGAAGAAAAAAGGAAGAAGGAAGGCAAAATATAAATATATATATGAATAGGTGTGATGACTGTATTGCTGTTGTCTGATGGTGTATTGAAATGAACAGATAATGCTTAAAATTTTTTATGTTCCGAACGACGTTGCATGCTTGTGTCTGGTGGTCTGAGCAACTGATTTGAAGGTAACAATATGCACTGGAATTACAAAGGTGAACTCCTAACATCTTGTCTAGTGATACTCTGTGTTATCTCTAAGGTTTTATCAAAGAATTATCTTCTTATTCTCTTTAATGGTTTGAGCAATCTTTCATTCTTACATCTGGTAATCTGAGCAATGTAGTTGAGGATAGTGATATGTAATGTAACAACCACTGTTTTTCTTTTGTTTTGTTTTGTTTTTTAATTTTAGAAATAAAAGGAGGAAAATATTAACAGACCAACAACATTTTACAAAATAGCATAGCATCAGTACAGACATTACAGAGT